AAAGAAAGAAAGAAAGAAAGAAAGAAAGAAAGAAAGAAAGAAAGAAAGAAAGAAAGAAAGAAAGAAAGAAAGAAAGAAAGAAAGAAAGAAAGAGAGAGAGAGAGAGAAAGAAAGAAAGAAAGAAAGAAAGAAAGAAAGAAAGAAAGAAAGAAAGAAAGAAGAAAGAAATGCAAATCAAAACTACACAGATTCTATTCCATTCCAATCACAATGACTATTATCAAAACAACACCAAAAAACAAAAAATAAGCTAGGTGCTGGTGGTGCCTGTAATCCTAGCTATTCAGGAGGCAGAGTTCTGAGGATAGCAGTGTGAAGCCAGCCCAGGCAGGAAAGTCCATGAAACTCCCATCTCCAATTAACCAGCAAAAAAGTGGAGCTGTGGCTCAAGTAGTAGAGGGCTAGTCTTAAGTATGAAATATTATTTAGCCATAAAGAAGAATGAAATTATGTGGTGTACAGAAAAATGGCTGGAACCACAGATCATCATGTTTGGCAAGATAAACCAAGTTTAAAAAGCCAAGAATCACATTTGTTCAGTCACACATAAACTCCAATGATGTTGATGATGATAGTCATGATCATGGAACATGAGTATAAAAGGAAGACTGTTTGAGATGGGGGAGGATTAGTGGGAAGAATAGGTAGGGGATGAAGATTGAAGTGCATTATACACACAAACATGGAAATAGCATAATGAAACCCACAAAATACTGTAAAGGGGGAGAGATCTGGGCATGTAGCTCTGTATTATTTGAGTAATTTGGCATTGCATATTGTTAAGTTAAATGCATTAAAAGAAAAAAGGGTTGAGCGTGATGGCATATATCAGTAATCCTCATTACTTGTGACATAATGATCAGGAGTATTGAGGTTGAAAGCCAACTAGGGAAAAATGTTATTTAGATCCCAATTTCAATAGATGAGCCATGTCTGGTGATATACACCTCTAATCCTAGCTGTATAAGAAATATGCAGGATGATTAGGGCCCAAGGCTGGTTCCTGGCAAAAGCACAAGTATATTTAGAAATAAGTAAAGCAAAATAGATGTGTGTGGCTCTAGTGGTACAGTGCCTGCCTCTCAGCATGAGGCCCTGAATTCAAAACCAGTACTGCCAAATAAATGAAACAAAACAAAAATTAAGGCTAATACTGTGATAGCAACACAGATCAGACTAACATAAATACAAATTCTTCATTGCTGTGTTATCTTAACTTCCAAAATGAATTCATTCCCTTGTCTATAGCTTTTGTTTTTCTTTTTTGCCAGTACTGGAGCTTAGTCTTAGGGCCTTGGGGTCTTGCTTTCTCTCTCAGCTTTTTCACTCAAGATTGGGACTTTACCACTTGAGCCACACTTGTACTTCAGGCTTTTTGCTGGTTAAGAATCACATGGATCTCTCTGCACAGGATGGCTTTGAACCTGGATCCACTAGCGCTGGGCTTCATATTGATCTTAAAAAAAAAAAAAAACTAGAACTGTGTTTATTTTTAAATTTGTTTAATGTATTTATGGTCATACTTATGTCTGAACTCAGGGCTTGCTATGCTAGAACTCAACACTAAGCCTGGCTCAAGCCCTTTTCTGACTAGTTATTTTTGAGATGGGTGAGTCAGTCTTTCTTCCTGCTTGGATATGATCCATCTATATAGGTTTCCTGTCATAGATGACAGATGTCTCACCATTACACCCAGTTTCTTTCCACTACAATGGAGTCTCACTACCGTTTCTGTCTCAGCTGACCAAAAACAGATCTTCCCCTTCTCAGCCTCCCTTGCTGCTGTGATGATAGGCATATGCCATTGTACTCAGCTGTTGATTTTTTTTTTTCCTAGTATTGGTACTGGGCTTAACCTCAGGGCCTCCCACTCCTGCTTGGCTTTATCCCTCACTGATGGCACTTTACAATTTGAGCCATACCTACTTTTTTTTAGTCAAGAGATTTCTGGCTGAGCTGGCTTTGAAATAGGATACTCAGATATCAGCCTCCTAAATAGCTAGATTACAGATATGAGACAGCAGTGCTCAATAATTATTATTATTATTTTTGCTGGTCCTGGGGTTTGAACTCAGGGTTTGGGCGCTGTCCCCGTGCCTTTTTGTGATTGCCACTTGAGCCACAGCACCAGTTCTGGCTTTTGAGTAGTTTATTGGAGATAAAAGTCTCTCAGGAGCTGGGCACTGGTGGCTCACGTCTATAATCCTAGTTATTCAGGAGGATGAGATCTGAGGATAGTGATTCCAAGCCAGCCCAGGCAGGAAAGTCTGTGAGACTCTTATCTCCAATAAACCACCAGAGAACCGCAAGTGGTGCTGTGGCTCAAGTGGTAAAGTTCTTGCCTTGAGCTGAAGAGCTCAGGGACAGTGCCTGGGACAGAGTTCAAGCCCTACAACAGACAAAAAAAAAAAGAAAGAAAGAAAGAAAAAAAACAACTTCTGGGACTTTTCTGCCCAGTCTGGCTTTGAACTGCAATCCTCAGATCTCAGCCTTCTGGGTAGCTAGGATTACAGGTGTGAGCCACCAGCACCCAGCTGAATTATTTTTAAACTGAAGTTATTCTTAAACCCAAAGCATTTCTGTAATGGAAAAATAGGAAAGAGGAAACTTTTAAGGGCATAGTTCAAATGGTAGAGTACCTAAAGAAGTTCAGGGACCTAAGTACAAAACCACAGTACTATAAAGAAAAATGATAAATTTGCTTCAGCGACAAGGGCTCAGGGATATCACAAAGTATCAAATAAAAAGACACAAAGTAATGTGAAATCACAAAGCTCTTTATGCACTTACAGATATCTAATACTTACAGGTATCTAATATAACAAAAACAAGACTTTTAATAATACATAAAAGATAATGACTCATCCTCTATGTTTCACACGCCAACAAAACTATAACATAAGGTACAAAAATTACCTACCTAGCTCTTTCCGCCACTGGGCTCTTTTTGCTTCCAACAAACTTTTATCACGTTCCCTTTCTCCCAGAGTACTAAATATGTCAGCTGGTTGCCATTTATTTTTTCTAAGGTAAAACACACACAAAAGGAAACAGAAACCTTAACACTATGTATTTATATGGCTAATTCCATAAATATTAATAAGCTTTTAAGTAGCAAGATCTTTAGAGTATTTCACATATAGCAAAACCATATTCCCAAGATGATATCAGAAATACAAGTATGAGTTACATACATGACAGTTTTCTGTTCATATTGTTCAGTTGCTTCCTGATTTTTATTGAAGAGAGATTTATTTTCATCTAGGGTGGATAAAACAGCCTCTTTTTTTTGTAGTAAGCCCATGATGTTCTCATCCTCTGGCTCATTCAGAATATTTTTTAAATGTAGACTGTCCTGACCTGGGGAGGGGGTGGGGGTGGAAATGTGTATTTTTAAATTAACACTAAACTGTATTTATTATAATTCCTTACCCTGCCATACTTCTATACAGCTTAAAGACATCTTATATATTAACTCTTAAAATCATCCTTGAGTTTCTGCCCAAAAAAGAGGGGAACTAGATCTATATACAAAGTGGCTGCTCATGGCCACAGCCATACAACTTCTTGTATCAAATAAGAAAATAACATCAGAGATGAAACCTCAATTTTTACTCTTGCTAAACATACTTTCACAAATTATATGTCACAACCTAAAAGGGAATTAACTTAAATAGCTTAGTAAAAGCCCAATATCTTGATTATATTCTATTTTAAAAATCTACCAGTGAAATCAGAGAAAAACTTTTCCATGAGTGGGTGGTGGTGGCTAACACCTGAAATCCTCATTATTCAGGAGGCTGAGATCTGAGGACTGAGGTTTGAAGCCAGCTGGGACAGGAAAGGCCATGAGGCTCTCATCTCCAGTTAACCACCTAAAAACTGGAAGTAGAACTATGGCTCAAAGTGGTAGAGTGCTAGCCTTGAGGAAAAAGAAAAAAAAGGTTCAGGGATAATATCCAGGACCTGGGGTCAAGCCCATGACTGACAATAAAACCTTTCCTTGAGGGCTGAGAAGGTGGCTCAGTGGTGGAGTGCTTGCCTTGCATACATGAGGCCCTGGGTTTAGTTTCTCAGCACCACATAAGCAGAAAAAGCTAGAAGTAGTGCTGTGGCTCAAGTGGTAGAGTGCTAGCCTTGAACTGAAGAGCTGAGGGACAGTGCCCAGGCCCAGAGTTCAATCCCCACAACTTGAAAAAAAGAACACCTTTTCCATGAACCATTATCTCTGGCCTACCTACTTATACTAGCTACATCAAATATTTTGTCAAGGGCTCATATGCTAGCCCCAGAACTGTTCTAGCTCCTCAAAAAGAGAAAGCACAGTTAATACAAGATCCTCTTATCAAGCCAGATGCCAGTGGCTCATGCCTGTAATCCTAGCTACTCAGGAGGCTGAGATCTGAGGATCACGGTTCAAAGCCGGCCTGGGCAGGTAAGTCTGTGAGATTCTTATCTCCAATTAACCACCAGAAAACCAGAAGTGGTGCTGTGGCTCAAGTGGTAGAGCAATAGCCTTGAGCTGAAGAGTTCAGGGACAGTGCCCAGGCCCAGAGTTCAAGCCCCATGCCCCGCCTCCCCCATCCCCAAAAAAGATCCTATCATGATTAGATAAAATGTGCTTTAACTGCTAATATTCTTTCTCACTATGTCAAGTTGTTATTTTTGTTGTTTGAGCTAGCAATCTAAGCTGAAAGACAAAATCAAGTTCCCTTATTTTAACTGAAAAATATCAATTAAAATAGGGTAATGACTACATTGTCAACAAGTTGGGAATGTATAGCAGGTACCTGACCCTCAAGCTAGTTGGGAGGCCTAAAGAGACTGCCAAATTTATATTTTCTGCTACTGTCTAATAAAAATTTAATGATATTTCTCCATTATTTTCATATTTACAATTCCTTAGGTCAGAGATAAAATTAGAAGTATTGTAAACATAAGACAGGGCCCTGGGGCTGGGAAGGTGGCTAAGTGGTAGAGTGCTTGCCTTGCATGCATGAGGCCCTGGGTTCCATTCGTCAGTACCACATAAGCAGAAAAAAAAAAGCCAGAAGTGGCGCTGTAGCTCAAGTGGTAGACTGCTAGCCTTGAGCTGAAGAGCTGAGGGACAGTGCCCAGGCCCAGAGTTCAGGCCCCACGACTGGACCCCTCCCCAAAAAAGGGCAGAGCCCTGACATTGTGAAACAGAAAGTTTATGACACACTATGTTTATGTAACTGTATCTGACATTGGCTAAAGGATTTAAGGCAGACCTTAATATGAATTGAAGGCAGAACATGTACAGGGACAGAGGAGCAATGTCTGTCAGCAACTGAAGTACAAGGGAAGTCTCCTTTTCATTTAAAATAACATTTTAAAAAACAAAACACTGTTTTATATAATTACCTTACATGTTAAGTCTCCTAAATTCTAAAATATGTACAATTTTCTGTATTAACATCTTTGTATGTGTGTCTGTGTGCGCATGCCCGTCCTGAGGCTTTGGGCCCAGGTGCTGTCCTTAAGCTTTTTTTGCTCAAGGCTAGCAGTCTACCCCCTGAGCCACAGCACCACTTCTGGCTTTTTCTCAGTTTAATGGACATAAGAATCTCACACTTTCCTTCCCCAGCTGGCTTCAAACCATGATCCTCAGATTTCAGCTTCTTGAATACCTAGGATTACAGGGGTGAACTACTAGCACCCTGCTTGTATTAACATATTTAATGGAGTACACAGAAACTAGTTTTCTTAAGGATACTTTGAGCACTAATCTAAACTATGGCATAACTACAAAAGAAATTTTAGATAACAGATCATTTTTATTTTATTTTTGATAATTAATTTTTAAAGACGTTAAATTGAAACCAAAGAGGCAGTTATATAAAAGCCAATCAATCAGAAAATCTAAAGTACATACTGAAAAAATATTCAACAAAACAGAAAAATCTTACTTGTTTTCTCATCATTTTCACTGTTAGTCAGAGAAACAGATCCATTTCCTTGGTTTATACTCATCAAAATCTGTTGTAGTTGGTCTTGTGTTAGACACACCAAACTGCTACTCATGTTTTCAGTTATGTTGTGTTTTTTATGAGGCTTCTCTTCAATTACTAAAGATGGATTTATGGTGTTTCGAGTCTTCTTTATATTAGGGGTTGCAGATGATACTTCTGTTTGGATATGAACACAGTCTTTATCTTCATAGTGCTTATATAAATCCTTAGTGGGTGTAACTGTCATTCTATTCTTTTCACTTTTTGACTGTGAAGTTTCTGAACCAACTGTCTTCTTTTGCAAAAGTTTTTCACTCCCAATATAAGAATTTTGTGTTGACTTTAGAAGGTGTCCAGTGTGCTTTGTTCTTAAAGGACATTTTGTAATCTTGCTCTTATTTCCCATCTGTTAAAAAAAAAACTTTTTTTTTTCATGTACTGCTGTCTTGGAAAAATAAACTTTTGTGGTTGTCATTGTTGTTTGAGACAGGGTCTGATTATGCAGCCCAACCTGGCCTAGAACTCACAATATTTTACCTCTGCCTTTAGAGTGCTGCGATTAAGACGTGTACTACACCCTAACAATTTTCTCTTATCTTGACCTTGTAACTACCCACAACTGTAACTTGTTCATAACCTCAATTTCAATTATTGAACGACTATCATCTAATTTTTTTCCAACTCACTTCCTCCCATATCCCAATTCCAACAATCTTCATCTGGACTAGGGTATGTAATCTGTTGATACTACATTTCTCTGGCTCTCATTTCCCTTCTTAACAATCTTAAACCTTATTTTTCCATTTTTTGCTCTGTTTTCTGTCACAAATATTTAGCAAATCCCATCCCTGGCAAGACAACTTTACAAGTGTGTAACTTCACCCACAGAGAAAAATAGCCATGCTAACTGGTTTCACTTAAACTTATAACCAAGAACATCAAATGAGTTCTAACCTCTACCTGTCATATATTTCCTAATTCCAATTTCTTGCTCTTTTAGTAATTATTTAACCTCCTTTTCCCCAAAACCCCGAACACTTTTTCTCTCATGCCTACTCTGAGCTGGAAACTTTAATATAGGAACTCTTGTTATTCACCTAGTCCTTATTCTTAAGGATCTCTAGAAATTTTTTGTTGCCCCCAAATCAAATTATTTTTGCAGTTGATCACAACTGTTTCAATACAAACATGGCATTATTTTACCATCTTAAAAAATTCTTTTTTTGGGGACTGGGAAAGTGGCTCAGTGGTAGAGTGCTTGCCTTGCATGCATGAGGCCCTGGGTTCGACTCCTCAGCACCACGTAAGCAGAAAAAGCTGGAAGTGATGCTGTGGCTCAAGTGGTAGAGCACTAGCCTTGAGCTGAAGAGCTGAGGGACACTGCCCAGGCCCAGAGTTCAGGCCCCATGACTGGCAAAAAATAAATAAATTCTTTTTATTTATTTATTTTTTTTTTGTCAGTCGTGGGGCTTGAACTCTACGCCTGGGTGCTGTCCCTCAGCTCTGCAGCTCAAGGCGAGCACTCTACCACTTGAGCCACAGCACCACTTTTGGTTTGCCACTTCTGGTTTTCGAGTCGTTTACTGGAGATAAGAGTCTCACAGACGGGAGGGGGGAGGCTGGGAAGGGATGGGAAGGGTAAACAAAGGAGGAGGCTGCAATGCTTG